ATTCTGAAAATAAGTTTATTGGAGAGAACTTCAAAAACATAATATTTGAAAATAACAGTTTATTTTTAGGATAACTTTTTCCCCTTGGAAATCATTTTCCAAATGTCGGTTTATCTTTTATTTATTCTATGACAAAATATTTTTTCTCCAAACTTTTTTTTTTAGTCTTAACTTCAGTTGTTCCTTTCAGTATGACAAAATTAGTCTTTCCAATCTATTTATTTAGTCTTAAATTATTTTGCCCTTTCACTTTTTTTCTTGAATTTAATAAAAAAAAAAAATAAATAACTGAATATTTCTATTAAGGAAAACCACTTGTCTGCATTGAGCCATTAGCTGTGTCTGAACCCCCCTCTTAACCCCTTAACCCCTAAATCACTATACAGAGTGGGGACTATGTTGTGGACTTTATAGGGAACTCAGTTAACTGACCGTTCACACAGATGATCACTGGTTTTCACTCCCCTTTGGTCACATAACTCCAACAGCCCGCATGTTATTAGTCGCCGCTACAACAAATCCCATGATGCTTTGCGAGGAGAGCTCTCAAAAAGTAATCTGGGATATATCTGCCTGACTAATGACCATTGATGATCACTGCTTTTTAAGGTGCATTGTGGAAAATTTGAGTCTAAATTGGTGTACCACCATGTAGTGCCCAATGTAGAGATTAGCACGGATGCTCGGAGACAGCAATTGACTTTCAAGAAGTGCTCCTCCTGAATGAGCTTGCAGGGATAATGTTTGGATGTGTTTGTCGTTGACTCTTCAACAATCCATCACACAAAAGCCTTCCTTACTATAGTTACTGATTTATTTTTTTGTGAGGTTACAAACATTTTGCGTAATGCTGTCACATCCTTGCCTTTCAAGCACAGCAGAGAAGTTGAAGCTGCTGCGCAATGCAGCACGGTTACATAATTAGGTGATGTTTTTATTATATAATGTTTATATTTCCAAACAAAGCACCATAACCAGTATTCTGGATCCTTGCTGCCATTAAACAGCACAAAAAAAAACAGACTTTTTCCGGCCTTAAAATTATTCTGCTCTGCCACTACTTCTCTTGCAAACACTGCTTAAGGATGACAGGGGTGCCCTCTAATGGACAGTGGTAACATTACAACACTGAAACACATTCCTCAAACAGATCAAATACTCAGATAGAATACATTTGGATCTATTAAACCATTAATGACGATTAATTGTAAGGTGATTATTTGTGCAGTTCTATACTCCAGAAAGTCTTTTCTGCTCATTTTACTGTATTCAAGATTTCTAGTGAGGATTGCACTGCAGACAGATTTGAGGTTTTACGGCACTAGTAGCTTGTTTTTTCTACAGTAGGCTGACAGGAAAGTGGTTATAAGAGATGGGGAGCGACATGCGGCGAAGGACCACAGGTCGGATTCAAACCCGGGTTGGCCATGTCCAGGGCTGAGGCCTCCGTACAAGGGTCGTGCAGGTGGTGCAGTGGTTAGTACGTACAAGGGTCATGCATACTAACCACTGCTCCACCTGCACACCCAACAGACAGTATATTAACCTTTTCATAACATGAGGACCCAAATTTGGGTCCTCAGCACTCGCCACAAGATGGTTTTTAGACCTGTAACATATTCTCTGGGGTCTTGCCTTTATTTTGATACCAAAACAATTAAAATAAACTCTGTAGTTCTTGAGATAAATTCAATTCATTTTGGGCATGTTATTTTCAAGCATATTTCTCGAAAACAGGCCTAGTGTCCAAGAGGTAACACAGATGTCAGGATTTATCAGATTTTTCTGAACAATCATTTGCATTATGTTTTTAAATTGCTCCTTACAAGAATGAGTACTATTTCTAAATGAGTTATTATAAATATTTCTGCAAATGGAAACAAATTTATCACTAAAAAAACTGTCCTTCTGTGGAATACATCGGCTGGTGACTTAAATCTACAGATTTTCAACTAGGAGTGTCTCAATACAGCATTAACCCTTATT